GAGCCGATACCCACCCACTATGCGCTTTGGCACTAAACCTATATGGGAGCAACGAAAATTATTGAAGGGGGGGGGGGTGCAGAAAACGGGCCTACAATTCTACCTACCAGTACTTCTTTTTCGATTTTTCTCCGAATAATCTGGGGGTATTAATAAGCAGATTTAAAATTCCTAGCAGACATGGGCACGCGCTCCCCAGAGAACCTAAGCGAAAACCCATTCTTAAAACCCTCAATCAACTTTTCTCCTTCTGCATGCGTATCGTACTATGTGCGAAGGAAAGGCAACATGCGAACTAACTTAATTAGAGTTTGCGCTTTATTGCAAGCAAACTCTCCGTGGGCGGCGGCTTCACATTTAATGCATTTATGCATGTATTGGCAAATTTTCCCTTTGATACATTTTCCGGCTGCATTAAAAGCAAAGCAGAAGCCTGGCCTTGATTGACAGCGGCTACTGGCCGAACCCGCTCCTCGGCGCTGACCCGAGCTCCACCCACCCCGAAGGACTGGCTGCCGCTGTTGATCTCCTTGGGGAAGGGGGGGGGGGGGGGAGGGAGTCAGGCAGGGCCGGAGAACGGGCCAGCCGGAGAGCGGCGACCGACCGATTAGTAGCCTCCTCGGTCCCTGCTGGAATTTAGGCATCGCCCAGCGATTTTTTTTTTTAGAAGTCGAGCAGGCTGTAGAGCCGCAGCGATGCCTGGGCGGTGCCCTGTCGCGATTTCCCGTCGGTCGCCGGTCGATTTTAGGAAAAAACTGGGTGATATCGCGGATTTTTTTCCGCGCGGTGTCCCGGCAGTGACCGATCGGTGACCCACCGATTCCCGAGCAGTCTCCCACCGGCCGCCGGCTGATTTTAAATATATTGCACGGCGACCGGCCAGTGATCGGCGGGGCTCCAAAATACGCTCGGTACCCGGCCGCTCGCCGTCCGGGCACAAATCGAGCGTTCGCCATCGAGAGATTTAGGTCAAAAAATCGAAGCCGCTAGGTCAATAGTCCACGTCCTGGACGATTTTTCATTGAAATTATTTGAATACAACCCCTTTAATGGCCTTGTAAATATAATTAATGTGAGTAAATTCATGAAACTTTCCTTGATATAAAACTGGCAACATCGTCGCCTTCATCTGTCATGTAAAGTGACGTAATTGCACCGAGTCGTACGCTGCTCTGATTGACAGGAACTGTCGACCAATCAGGATCGAGAGCAAGGGAGACTTGATTACGTGGGCGGAATATCAGTTCTCTTGAATCTGACGGGGAACTTGCCAAGATAAGGGAGTTTACATATACAATCTGCGCGTGGGCAGATAAAGGTCATTTGTACCAAAATGGTAAAACCCACAGAGATGAGTATGCGCTCATGAAAGTTATGTAACACTATTCATTTATGCACCAACGGTACATTCTATGATACGCAGGTGGAAGTATTCTGTTCAAGAGGTCAAACAAAAGGTATTCATGAAGCACATCTAGAACTTTGGCAGTTATTTTTCTAAGATGCTCAAAGTGGAACTTCTCTGTGGATATTTGGGGTCATTTGTACCATGTGCTATCTGTGAACTCCCTTATTCACTGGACTGTTGCGGGAGTACAGGCGCGTACGCCGGGGGGGGGGGGGGTGAACCCCCTTTGGGTTTTGTATGTGTGTATTTTTTTTATTTAAAAACAAAATAAATAAATAAAATATGCCAATGGCTGACCTAAAAAGTAGACTTAACCCCCCCCCCCCCCCCCAACGGAGTAAAATGTCAAATTTTCAAATTTCGAGACCAAAAACAAAAAATATAATAGTGTCTTCTAGAAAAAAGAATTGCAAATTTACAAGGCTGTTGATAAGGGAAGGATGCATTGTTGTCTGGTACCCCATTTCCCCATTTATTTTAGGGGTAGGGTTGCTTCATGCTACCCTGTATTTACGTCAACAAGCATATAATTAAAACAAAACTTATTTTACCTTTGAAGGTTTGCCTTATCTCAATGTCAGCCATGCATTCGTCCTGGAGAACACGTAATCGGCTGTTAACTTCATTCGTTTCTTCGCAAGTGTAATCCAGCTCAAAATCAAGACACTCGAAGGAAACAACATCCATGGTCTCGGTCTCAAGCATCTTCAAATATGAACAAAATCCAAAAAAAAAATAATGAAAAAAAATAACTAACAAAAACGATAATAATGTTGAAGACTGATCACAACAGATACAGGCTTGCATTTTTGAAGGAAAAGGCGATGCATGTACATAATCTAAGTTTTACAAATTGTAACCGGTGTGCTGCAAAACACATTGAGGGGTGCCGAGTAACAAATGTATTTTTGATAATGTCAAAATCGTAAGGTTTTATTTTTTTAACCGCTCTGTATTTTCATGAGAAAATGACGTTTTAAAAAGTTTTAAAATGATACTGGGAATGTTTTAGCCCGTGGAATGCAAAACGCTAAAAAGTGTTTAAATTTTAAAATAATTCGTTACTCAGATTATAATTTGCTATTCATAACATATTTTTGAGGAGAGCTCAAACAAAGAAGGCAATGATGAGAAACAAATAAATGTTTTTTTTTTTTGGTGCAGGACAAATGGGAGAGTTGTCTCGGTCTACAGTTACTATCCATTGACCAAATCACCAAATGGAGTTTGGCATAGATACAGTGTTCTCATGTTTCAAACATTCATATTAAAGGTATTACAAAGTGTTGGTATGGGGTCATGAATTTGGTTCAAATGAACATATTGGAAACATATGCGTTCCTACAATATTTAGGGATCGTTGTCCCGGTTGAAATCTAGTCTAAAGTGATGAATTTGTAAATAATAAACTCGTTTCGCTGTATAGCTCCCTCTCAAGGTCAAGATATTAATTTAGCTATAAAACAATGTTTCTTGACTAAAATCGACCAATTGGCTATTCCCATTTGAGATTATATATCACAACTACATACTCTGCGATTTTCATGGTCGCAGCTACTATTGAACGGCCGTAGGCGCTATTTGAAATTTATCAGAATTTACCGGGAGCACCAGTAAATTTTTTAATTCAATTTTTCTCAAAAGCAGAAGTGTTTTAGGGGCAAAATTTTCTAGTGCCTATAATACATCCAGAGGGGCATCCAAATATTTCAAAATTGTAAAGAATCACTATCCAGCCAATTTTCAAAATTTCCCAAAACTTTGTATTACCTTTAAACGCTCTTAGACTATAGGGCATGGGGTCAAAAGAGCTTCCTAAAATGATTTTTGTAGTCTCCTCCTTGTGACTACCTAAACTATGGCTTAAAATGTTGGTATTGTGTGTCTTATCAATATTCTGATAGTTCCCACTTCCAGAAGTGGAGCACTTCCAAAAAAATGGCGCCCAAAACAAAAGATCTAAAAACAAGCATTCCTTCATAAAAGGACTGCATCCGGTGCAAGTGATTTTCACTAATACAGGTGGTAATTGGTTTTAATCAGTGAATGTGCATGATACCGCTTTTGCGGTCTAAGTTCATATTCATTGTACAAAATATCTATAGGGAAGATTTAATATTTCACAAAACACTGTATAGTTGAGGAAATTTGCATGAAAATGACATTTTAAGCCAAAATACGTAAGTTTGACATTTTTCTGCAACAAAGCCTGTAATAATTTAATTATTCTGAATGAGGAAGTTCATTTACAAGCAATAAATATTACAATAAAAACAAACTACTTTGCTTTGTGCTGCTTCTTTAGTTTGATGAACAATACATACAGCATTCATTTAACTTAAGGCAGAGCCATGCTGCTGGGAGCTGTTAGGACCTGGTTCTCATAGCGCATGTTGTAGACTGCTGGGAGCTGCATGTTACTGGTGTTATGACTTGGTTCTTCTCATCTTTAGGCTACAAAGACAAAAAATGAAAAGCTTATTAGATATTTAGCTAACTTTAAAAGAATTATTAATAGTTTTATCATGCTGCTGTATTTTAATGTGAAGGTGAACTGTGCGGCATTTCACAATACACTGTATAGTTGATGAAATTTGAATGAAAATGACATTTTAAGCTAAAAATATGTAAATTTGTCATTTTTCTGCAACAAAGCCTGTATTGATTTAACAATTATTCTGAATTACGAAGTTCATTTACAAACAATGAATATTACAGTACAAAAACAATACATACTTCTTTCATGTCACCGGTGGTAATTACGGCCGATCCATGCTGCTGGGAGCTGTTGGGACTTGGTTCTATAGCGCATGTTGAAGTGCTGGGAGCTGTTGGGACCTGGTTCTCATAGCGCATGTTGTAGTGCTGGGAGCTGTTGGGACCTGGTTCTCATAGCGCATGTTGTAGTGCTGGGAGCTGTTGGGACCTGGTTCTCATAGCGCATGTTGTAGTGCTGGAAGCTGTTGGGACTTGGTTCTCATAGCGCATGTTGTAGTGCTGGGAGCTGTTGGGACCTGGTTCTCATAGCATATGTTATAATGCTGGGGACTTGGTTCTCATAGCACATGTTGTATAGTGCTGGGAGCTGTTGGGACTTGGTTCTCATAGCGCATGTTGTAGTGCTGGGAGCTGTGGGGACCTGGTTCTCATGTCATCATCTTTAGGCTATAAAGACAAAATAGTAAAGAAAATGATAAGAATATAAGATATTGGGCTAATTTTAAAAGAATTATTCATACTTTTAACATGCTGCAGTATTCTAATGTAAAGGTGAACTGTGCAGCATTTCACAATACACTGTATAGTTGATGAAATTTGAATGAAAATGACATTTTAAGCTAAAAATATGTAAATTTGTCATTTTTCTGCAACAAAGCCTGTATTGATTTAACAATTATTCTGAATTACGAAGTTCATTTACAAACAATGAATAGTACAGTACAAAAACAATACATACTTCTTTCATGTCACCGGTGGTAATTACGGCCGATCCATGCTGCTGGGAGCTGTTGGGACTTGGTTCTCATAGTGCATGTTGAAGTGCTGGGAGCTGTTGGGACCTGGTTCTCATAGCATACGTTATAATGCTGGGGACTTGGTTCTCATAGCACATGTTGTAGTGCTGGGAGCTGTTGGGACTTGGTTCTGATAGTGCATGTTGTAGTGCTGGGAGCTGTGGGGACCTGCATGGTTCTCATGTCATCATCTTTAGGCTATAAAGACAAAATAGTAAAGAAAATGATAAGAATATAAGATATTGGGCTAATTTTAAAAGAATTATTCATACTTTTAACATGCTGCAGTATTCTAATGTAAAGGTGAACTGTGCAGCATTTCACAATACACTGTATAGTTGATGAAATTTGAATGAAAATGACATTTTAAGCTAAAAATATGTAAATTTGTCATTTTTCTGCAACAAAGCCTGTATTGATTTAACAATTATTCTGAATTACGAAGTTCATTTACAAACAATGAATATTACAGTACAAAAACAATACATACTTCTTTCATGTCACCGGTGGTAATTACGGCCGATCCATGCTGCTGGGAGCTGTTGGGACTTGGTTCTCATAGCACATGTTGTAGTGCTGAGAGCTGTTGGGACCTGGTTCTCATAGCGCATGTTGTAGTGCTGGGAGCTGTTGGGACCTGGTTCTCATAGCGCATGTTGAAGTGCTGGGAGCTGTTGGGACCTGGTTCTCATAGCATATGTTATAATGCTGGGGACTGGTTCTCATAGCACATGTTGTAGTGCTGGGAGCTGTTGGGACTTGGTAGCGCATGTTGTAGTGCTGGGAAATGTTGGGACCTGGTTCTCATGTCATCATCTTAGGCTATAAAGACAAAATAGTAAAGGAAATGATAAGAATGCAAGATATTGGGCCAACTTAAAACATTTATTATTTATAGTTTTAACATGCTGCATTATTCGCCTTCGTGTTACGTGTTACGTTCAAACCTTTAACTGGATCAGGCTTTGAATCCTGAATCACAATCGAAACAAGCACTACACTTACAGGTAAGTACACTTCCGATACTCTTGTGCCTGCTGGATGTGCATGGTTTAGTTACTATGGACTTGCATAAACATTTCGCTGGCTAATAGAGTTAAACTTAAAACAATGTTTTTCAACTTCAAGTTGGTTGCTTAGCACAAAGCCTGACTGTTCTTACTAGATGATAATTATTTATTATTTATGGGATATATGAGTTTTTGCTACCTACCTGAACATGTTAAAATAACTCCTCTTCTTCAAAGTTCTCCTCATCGTCACAGTTGTCACCTTCATCAGCTTCTGCTTCTTCTTCTTCTCCAATGATTGGTTCCTCACCTGGCACAGCCATGTTGTCGCAGTTCTTGCACTCACACAGTTCTGTGCAGGGAAGGCCCAAAGGCGCACAACACTGGGCATCTACTCCTGTGACTTTACATTTGGACTTTTTGCACTTGCATGAAGTAAGTTCAAGGATGCTCTGTTGAGCAGGTTGCATATCCATCCAGTCTATTCGAAGCCCTCCATCGACCGATTGCCAACCTCGCCCAACTGGTGACGGAACATCTGGCTGGCTCTCAAGGCAGCGCCTCCAAATAGCAGTTTGATAGTTGGCCCTTTGGATGTGCTTCATGAGGGCATCCTTGTTTGGTGGCATAATGTCTTCTTGTCTCGTCGCCATGGAAAAAAAAGCATATCTTGCTTCATTCACCTTACTGATTTCCTTCATCCCATACAACTTGCAAACAAACTCCTCCAGAGTAGAAACCAGGTCATCAGTAAGGGTGAATGCTTTCCCAAGCTCCTGAAATGCCTTGATAAACTTTGTAGTCTGCGACATCAGCGTAAAGGGCTTAGTCTTCCCCCGTCCATACAAAGCACTGACGGAATCACAACCTGTGAATGGGTGCAGGCCTACGATTGCATCGCTGACTTGATCTCCAAGATGACATTGAATGGCGTTCAAATTGATTGTCCGTTCCTTATCTTGCTTGCCAGTATGGAAATACAACTTGGAACCCTCAAGTTGGGCAGCTATGCCAATGCCAATGACGAATACGTCAGTGTCCGGGCTCTTAATGATGATGTCCTTCCTACCCATGTTGCTGATGTACTTTGCGTGTAGCATCATCCTCGTGTCGGCTTCCTCTTGAGTAGTGTATAGCTCTGGAATCGCTTCACTGACCGTGGTACCACTACGACAAGATAACTTGTGGCATTCTTCAGAATGAGCCAGATATACATCAACTCCCTTGAATTCATCCTCACCACAAGCACTCCACGACTCATATAAAAACTTGGCAAAGTGTTGCTTATTGAAGCCATTTGCTAAGAATTTCTTCCATTGCTTTGGAACGGGTTGGTCTTGGTTTGTAATCTTTATACGCTGCGACCCACTTGCAGCACGCCTTTTTCTCTCTGCACCTTTGATGCTGACAGGTGGGTATGTGTCCGTGACAAAGTGGACTTGATCAGAACTGGAGTTTCTGGCTAGGTAGACTACATCCTTCAGGATTTTCTTGGCCAACTGTCCCATGGTAGCAGGCATCCGACTTGGTATTAGGCCTTGAAGCAATGCCATACCATCAACAATCCATACTGACTCCAGCAGTCGATCCACTGTTGGGGATGACTCTGGCAAATTTTCCAACTGGTGAAGGAGGGCAGCCTTGTTGTTCTTGACCAAACATCCATCTTCTTTACAAATGGCTGGTGGGTATGTGCTTAAGGAGTAACTGAGCATCTTGCGTTGGTCAACTTTGCGTACACGGCCTATGATGATGAGCCTTGCCAGTAACTCCCGGGCGCTCTTAAGCACAACTTCTCTCCCTTTAATGTTGACTTTTGCCTTGTCAGAATCGGCAAATGTCTTAAGTTTCATCTTGGTGATGGTCTTGTTAAGATCGGTATCTCCTTGTAGTCTGGTTTTGGCAAAGTTGATGAATGCTTTGTCCCCCTTCTCGCCTGCTTTCAGAAGATCTGAGCACACACTGACTGACGCAACAATGCCTGATGAGAGATGCACAAGATCATCAGCATCTGTCTCTCGATCGACCACAAAGGGATTTGTCATGCTGTTGATGGTACTCATGATATTGGCTACATCCTGCTGGTCCCTTGTCATTCTGCTTTTTGTTAAGTCTACTCTTTTTGAAGACTTCTCGCCCTTTCCAGCCATCACTTCACACTGTCTTGTGATCAGGGCTCTCTCGTGGTGGCCTCTGACCCAGCGGTTTGTCGCCCCTTGGTTGTTAGAGAACCCTTTTACACCGCCGCTGGTCTTCGTATCCCTATTGACTGTCTGCTCAATAGTCATGTCACATGCTACCTGAGCAAACCCATGACTGTCTTGGCGTTGCACTCCAAAGTGACCCTTCATCAACTCGTTGTAAATGTATGGATGAGTGGTTGGAAGTTGGCTCATCTCGATCCAATAAACTGGCAGGTACCGTGCATAATTTGTTCTGTCATAGGCAAACATCCAAGGAAGCAGGGCTCTGACTGAAGCAAGATGCAGTTGCCAATCTCCTTCTCGTGTTGCACGTATGAACAGGAGGATATTTCCAACCAAATCTAGATAGGAAGACCAAAATGTGAAAGTAGCATCCTTCTTTCCTTCTTCAATGAAATCTTTGTACTCCTTGACCATTGCTTGGTACAACTCTCCTTGAACTTGGTTGGTGAATTCACTTGGAAATGATCCCTGTAGAGATGCCACTACTTCTCTGTACTGATGCTGCCTCTCCTCTTCCAAGGAACCCATGAAGCTCTGCCAGCGCAAGCGATGAAGTGCTTCGGCCATAAGCTTATGGCATCTGATACTTCTATTGTAGTTGTGGCCATTCATCACACCAGTCACTGAGCCTGTAGCTACAACACCTGCCTCAATAAGAATATCTTGCAGTCCTGCCTCCTGAAATCGCTTTCCAATACAAGCGAGTGCCGTCATTGTTGTGTGGAAAGCCCCTAGTCGAATGACTATCTTCTTCAGAAATGTTGGTTCTTGCCAGCGAATTGTTTGAGCTTTGCAATAAATGGCCTGATCAACCACTATCACAATGGCTGGAAGTGCCAACTGATCTGCTATCTCCAGACTTCGGTGTAGTACTGTATGGACGGTGTTAAAATCTGTTGGGCTTGCATCTATCACTGGCAAGTAAGCTATTGTTGCCTTAGGAGGGATATTGGACGAAAGCAGTTGATTAAATCCAGTCCAAGATGGCAGTAGTCGTTCCTGTGACGATTTTGCAACATAGAAGGCTGCATCCTTTTCTTTGTTAGAATGTAGAACATCATCGTACTGACTCATCTCAAGCGCCACAGAATCATCAAATGCCTCTGGCGATGACTTCCTCTGGCCAGTGAATCTCACCAGTATTGTAGCAGGTGCAGGCAAAGATCGTTGTCTTGTCTTCTTCATACTCTGAGCTGGTAAAGCTTGAGGGATTACAGCAGCAAGATGTGCATGTTGTACAGCTATCCCATTGGTATTATGTGTCGTCCCTTTTCCTGAAAGTGTTCTTTCCCCGAAGTCGTTATTGTCCCAGACTAAAGTAGTGTAGGATGACTTTTCCAGACTGGACGGAAGCTTACTTGAACCTTTCTCTATCTCCTGCAGCCCTAGAGCCGTATCATGCTCCAAAACATTAGTGTGCGACACACAATATCCAAAACCGTTAAGTAGCCCAATCAGCTGTGATGAACCACTCAAATGACGCATTGCCATTGATAGAGATGTATGCTTGGGCATCATCTTCCTCCCCTTTGTAGCCATGTAGATAATATCTTGACAAATTGTAAGGATACGACGATCTTCTGCTGCTCCTATCTTGACTTTCTCCTCTTCTTCTGGATCCTCAGAAGCACCTACAACCCATGCTAGAAAATTGTACAGCTTGGTGGATACTATTGTGCGTGCAGAATCCAATGTTAAATCAGATGATGTTGGAGGCCATGGTAGACTGGTCCTGGTCTGCATGACATCGTCCTTTAGGTCCAGTGCAGAGGCGTAGCGATCTCGAAGTGAGGCCATTGGAGGTTTGGATCGTCTACCATTCCCGCCCTTTTGTCGCTTCGTTGGAGGTTCTATGCTTTCATCAACGTCTGTGATGTCTGTGTCAGTATCAGATAGGGCGTCTGTATCAGTGGTGGTGTCTGTTTCTTCTCCTTCAGAACCAACTGCTCCTGGCACAAGGTCTTCAGTTGATAGCGTCTCGACATACACCATTTCACTTGCATACCTCTTCTTAGGCTGAAGAAAGCAGAGTTGTGGATACTTTCGTTTCAGGCGTTGTTTTAGGCTGTAGGTCTTGTAATTTGATGCATCTTTAGACTCAACATCTTTAACAGCTTTTACAAACAATCTTCTCAGTGCTGTCATTCTATATATTTGCTTCTCTTGTATGATCTTCTTGTCTACAACATAACTGCAAAATGTAAGGAATGCCTTTCCATACTTCTGCTCCTTGATGGGCTCAACACTTTTCCTTGATTGGTAGACAGTATAGCTCCTGAAACAACTGCGATGATACCTGACCTCTATTGCTACACAGTCTCTGTCCTGGATCTGAAGAAGAATGTGGTCGTCCTTCTTGTCTTTAGCAGCTGTTGCTACTTTTCCACCATCTGGCTGTTGACACAGCATTAATGGTTCCTTCTTTTTCTTCCCCTCAGAGTCCTTATGAGTTTTATTTTGTCGACAGATGATGCAAATCTTTGGTAGAATGTGGGCAGAGACAGAGGGCTGCTTTGAAGCACCAGCAACACTGGAGTTTGACCGTAAGCGTCTTATTGCTGAGGCTGAGGACGGACCTGGAGCTTGACCGCCTGCACTTGACGTAGAAGGCTCCAATTCTGTACAAATAAATGAAAATTGAGAGAAATGGGTGATTTTCACAATTCAAATAATGTTTGAACAATTATGCAAGCAGGTTAAATAAAAATTCATAGTCATAACAGTAAAAATATAATTTATTGATTTAACAAATATCAGCTGTATTCAAAACTGTACTTGTAAAGTTAAAAAAACAGGCTGTATTGGACAGAGTTAAGCACAAGGAGAAAGAAATTAGACACTAAGACATTATATTATAATGCATTTGTATGTGAACATCCCATTTAAATTTAAGCACAATTAAAATTGTAATGTGTTCAAAGTAATCAAAGGTTAAAATTGCCACAAAAAAAAATTGGCCATAGCTTCGCTGTCTGACGGCTTTTTAGACAAAAGCCGTCAGAAAACTAAGACATTATATTATAATCATTTGTATTTGAACATCCCATTTAAATTTAAGCACAAATAAAATGTTAAGGTGTTCGAAGTAGTGCTACGAAGCAATCAAAGGTTAAATTGAAGGTTAAAATTGCCCCCCCCCCAAAAAAAAAAAAAAAAAAAAAATTAAAAAAAAAAATGGCCATAGCTTCGCTGTCTGACGGCTTTTTAGACAAAAGCCGTCAGAAAACTAAGACATTATATTATAATCATTTGTATTTGAACATCCCATTTAAATTTAAGCACAAATAAAATGTTAAGGTGTTCGAAGTAGTGCTACGAAGCAATCTAAGGTTAAATTGAAGGTTAAAATTGCCCCCCCCCCCAAAAAAAAAAAAAAATTAAAAAAAAAATGGCCATAGCTTCGCTGTCTGACGGCTTTTTAGACAAAAGCCGTCAGAAAACTAAGACATTGTATTATAATGCATTTGTATGTGAACATTCCATTTATGATTTAAATTTAAGCACAAATAAAATTTTAATGTGTTCAAATACAAAGCAATCAAAGGTTAAAAATTGCCCCCCAAAAAAATTTGCCATAGCTTCGCTGACTGACGGCTTTTTAGACAAAAGCCGTCAGAAAACCAAGAAATTATATTTATAATGCATTTGCATGTGAACATCCCATTTAAATTTAATCACAAATAAAATGTTAAGGTGTTCAAAGTATTCAAATCAATCGAAAGTTAAAATTGCCCCCCCCAAAAAAAAAAAAAAAAAAAAAAAAAAAAAATGGCCAAGCCCAGTTATAGCTAAAAAACTAAGTCTAGATTTCTAGGCTATTGAACACTTTTTGTTATAGGCCTAGGTCTAGAATCGATTTATTTTTAGCTGCAAATTAAGTGCAAGACTAAATTAGACCTAGCTCTGTGCTTGTTTACAACTGTGAACATTTTTGACCCGTAACTCCGGCGTGGAGATACTCTAAAATCTAGACCGTCTTCTTGTTCAAACCAGTGGCAGTGACTGTGAAAACGTGTAGAGGTCTAGCCTAGGCCTGAGCCTCGGAAATATAGTCTACTATTAAAAAAAAAAGATTTAAAATTGACACGAAACAGATAAGAAAGATAACGACTTTTAAATCATGACCGTTATTTGAGCAACTGTGGAAGTTTTAGATGAATTTTGATGTGTTAGTCTGTAGAGTAGGGTTTCTCCACGCCGGAGTCACGGGTCAAAAATGGTCACACTCACACTCACAGTTGTGAACAAAATTTTGAATGAAAAGAATTCGCGCAAGTTAAGTTAAATGTATGGCTTACCTAAAGTTTGACATGATGCAGCGTCTGTTTTTTGTTTGTCTTTGTTGAGTTTCCCTCTCTCTTGCTTGGATGAATCTGTGAAATAGCGATAGCACGTCGGGTGATATCCACCACTTTCTGGTACTGGTAAGCCTACAGCAGTATCGACCAGTGCATCAGGTCCAACTTCGCGTAAAAAGGCTCTCGCTATATCAGCCTGATACCCCACTAAATCTTTCCAAATATTCACACTGCTTACAAATGTGTTCCACCGTGTAGTCGTGAAAGGTTTGAGATCTTCGGAAACACTAGAGCAATGAGCAAAACATCGATTTTTTGACGAATTTCGATAAGATTTTGCACCGACAGACATGATTACGGCAAACAAAGCGCCTGTATGTACACGTGACTCGCAAAAACGCAGTACCAAAGCCGGTTAATACAACTTTTCTGATTGGCGGACTAGCGATAATCTGTCATTTTGTCAATCTGATGGGCCAATCAGATGAGTTTATAGTCTTAGCAACGTAAGTGGATTAATTACGCGATTTAATTGGACGATTTTATTGCAATAATATTAACCCTTTTTTATCAAAATATTAAACAATGACCCAACTCCCAGTGTGGGAACTAACAAATTTATTTCCTAAAAATATAATGCTTATTTCTTAGATAAGTTTCAGGTAGTCACAACATGTGGAGTACAAGACAAGCGTTAAAATCGGCTCGCCCTATGGTCTATCTTATTAAAGGTCCAATTTATTGATAACTAGCGCCATTATGCTCCTCGTATTGGTCTGATTCCATACAAACGAGCTTATTATAGATGTTGGATACTGAGATTGCCCTATAATGCACCAATATGCCTTGTAAAATGACTGTACCTACCGATGCACGAGGTTCGGGATTTCCTTTCACAAATAGCATCTCACATGTGACTTCGGCATCCTGGCCGATTTTCCTCATAGTGAATGTTGTTTCATCCTTAACGCACACGTTGTTCTTCTTCTCCCATTGTGCCCGAAGGCGCTACGGAACGACAGAGGGAGGATATAAATCCGTTATTATACACAAATTGCATGCGATCATAATGCGATATATCCGTATTTTGTGTTAGGGGTTTATGCATCTACCAATACGTATATGAACAGCCTTGGCAAGGACAGTTAAATTCTATCCTGAACAAATGAAAATAATCATCATTTGTTCCCGAATTTTCCATTTACACTGCGAAAATCGGTGAAACTTGAAAGTTAAAAGAACAAAAACATTGGAAATTGATTTTTCTATTTCGTTCTTCATCCTGTTCGCCGGAAACACGGTAATGTGAGACAAATCGACGATTTGATGTTGCAGTGAAAATGCATCTAGTCTCTACAAACGCTGGTACGTGGGATAATACTACAATGCCCCTCTCTCTCTCCCTCTCTTTAATACGAACCTTTGTAACGAAGGGACGAGTTGTGTTTCGAAAACTTGGACAATAAATTGTATTTATTATTCGGCAGAAATATGTATTTATACACATCTTACAGCGTCATTACACTGACATAAGTAGTTTTAAAAATGAGTAATTAAGTGAACATGGTCATTAGCAAGACATTTTGTGTCCTGTTAACGAATGAATAATGTAATTACTGTCCTCTATGCTTGTAGGCGGAGGAAACCGAAATGCTTCCTAATAACTTATCATTAATCATTAGTTTAATCATATAGTTACAGTGTTTGGGATTCATGGTTCGGGTTAGCGTTAGGGTAGTATACTAGTTTTTGTTGTAAATCTACCATTACTGGTTATGAAAGATGTCACGTTAATACAACATGTACGTTTATAATTATTATCTACAGTGTGAGTCAAAAAAAAGTTTAGACCTAGAAAATTGCTTATTATTTTTTAAATCATCTATAAACAGTGCATTATTATACATCTTATGAAAGAGTGTTTTATCCAAAATCATTTGGTACCATTTTAGTGTTGTATGTGTTCACGCTTGGATGAACAGGAGGCATTGTTTGCGAGAGTGCAAAAATCGGCTTGCGCCAAAGTTGCTTATGTGATGTCTGAATAAAATATTTGGGATTTGGGTATTAATTCGGTTTTTGCAAATCCAAATAACATCCCTAACAAAATTAATCATGCCACACATATCAAAACTCGAATATCAAATATCAACGAACATTTTGTGCGCGTGTGTGTGGGTGTTTGTGACTTTGCCCTTTGCCAAAAGCATATGCAATGCATTTCATTTGATACATTCGATTCATTCTGTCACTCCGCTAATCCCAACATAATACATACTGTAGGCATCATTGTGGCGCAAGTCGATTTTTGCACTCTCGCAAACAATGCCTCTTGTTCATCCAAGCGTGATTACATACCACACACAAATGGTACCAAATGATTTGGGATAAAACACTCTTTCATAAGATGTACATGTATAATAATGTACTGTTCATAGGTGATTTAAAAAATAATAAGCAATTTTCTGGGTGTAAACTTTTTTTTGACTCACACTGTGCGTGTGCATGGATGCGCGCGTGTATGTGTAGGTTAACGTGTTAGTATTCTTAGTGAGAGTTAAACGAAAGAAGGATATTAACTGAAGTTATTAATGAATATTACCTTTCCAATTTCACCGAATGGATAGTAAAAGTTCACACGTAGAATGGGCCTTCTGTTCTCGGGCATGCCACATGGGAGAAAGGCTAGTAGTGCAACGCGTTTTCCCTTGCACATGTCATCTTTCATTGAGGCTGTAAACGAACCTGGTTCGATTATATCAAAGATCAGTTTGCCTTTCTCGATTTGGTACTCGGGGGGTGATAGTTCTCGACGAATAACTTGTTTTTTTCCTTTAAAAAAGACCAAACAAATATTTCAGGTTAGAAGAGGCAGTGTGTGGCGCAATAGATCGTCACACGCGCGGGTTTGTAAATCACCTTGAGGAGACCAGCACCTTAACTCATATCCTGCCACAAGGCTGCATGCACGCTATCGTTATAGTGCTTTGTACATGCAAGCGAGCCATTGCTTTGCTACCTTGTGCATGATTGCATGCTTTCGTAATAGCAGTTATTGTTCATGCTCATTGTACTGTGCTGTATGTTTTGCACGCGCTATTCATAGAACCATCGGGTTAAACATTTTATCTCAAAATAAACTCGGCACGGGGGATTTGGGGCTTGGCACAATGGGGATTAGCCCTGTGGCATGATACGAGTTAAAGGGGAGCGCCACCCTGATATTGAATATTATGCGCTGTACAGAAACGTGTTATTATTATTATTACGGTTGCAGCGGAGCTAAAGGTAACGTAGTAATATACAAAGTCCTTCGGAAGAGCACCAAAGACGTTATATCATAACATTAGTTTTACATGAAGTGCATACAATTTTGTTAAGTGCAAAGGGGTTTAAAACCATGAATATTCGTACCATCAGAAGCTTTGTCTGGTTTTGAGTAAACGACAAGTTTCCCTTCTCCTCTGCGTGCGGCTGGCGTAAGTTCTGCACAATGACTCAAACTCAACTGTACTGTAAATCCCTTGGGGATTTCAGTAACTTCAGCAGTTGGGCAAATCGACACCTCATTTTGTTCGGATAATCCTTTCATCAAGTCGGCTTTTGTAGAGTATCCAACTATTGACAAGAAATGAAGAGTTTCATTCCAAAAGGAGCTAAATCCACTTTGGGTACTTCTGAGTAAATCACCTTTTTTTTTTATTTCTCCACTTTCCCTTTAGCCATGGACCTTAATGTTGTTATATATTTTAAAGGTGTCACCCTGGACCAATAATATATGATAAGAAAAAATCTACCAGTTTTCCCTGATTTTTACTAAATTTTTAGAATTTTTGTTTTCGTGGATTTAGCTCCTTTTGGAATGAAACATGATATTGTACCTGGAAAATTTCATATTTTCTCAATAAAGTCACTGAAATGTATTCAAATTTAGTAGCAAACCTTTCCTTTTAAATAATAATAGTGAAATCGCAACTAAAAACACCTTTTGAAAAGAAAGTAAACAACATATCACATTTTCATTCCAAAAGGAGCTAAATCCGTTTCATTTCAAAAGGAGCTAAATCCATGTTTCATTCCAAAAGTCCAGGGTGATACCTTTAACATATATAACAACATGAAGGTACATTGCTAAAGGTAAAGTGGAGAAATAAAAAAGGTGATTTCCTCAGAAGTACCCAAAGTGGATTTAGCTCCTTTTGGAATGAAACCGATTTGGATTTAGCTCCTTTTGGAATGAAACATGATATTGTACCTAAAATTTTTCATACTTCCGGGTGAAATTTTTGAATGTAATATAGTGCATTTTGTCCCCATGTAGGATAACATTATTTTAAGACAAATAACTCCATTTTGATAAAATATGGATTTAGCTCCTTTTGGAATCAAGCTCTTCAAATACAAAGGAGCAATTCCGAACGATAATAACATACATTCGTATACAATATAGGAACTTTTTTGATTTGCACGTTCACTAGTAGACTTCGACGTATGCGGTCACTTTTGAAGCAGTGCACATGCGCATTGACGAGCTCAGTGTTCGTAGCAGAATTCTCGAACGCGTTCGCCCTTGTTTTGCCGTCGTTCGCAAATTGTGACGGTACACGTTCGTAAACAATCTGTTGTAGGTACGAAACATCGCATTGAAGTCACAAAATGGACCCGATTGACCAAATTCTGGAACTGGAGAGTGATGGAAGCGTGAATTCTCTTAAGTTAACACATTTTCGTGTCTGTAATTTTCCTTAAATCAAAATTGTTGCAGAATAATTCATAAAATGAACACATTTTATTTATGCATCATTAATCTGTTGCAGCATAATTTGTAGAACAGTCCCATGCACCGAATTTGGTGTTGGATCTTTAGCTATTCGATCGAATTTTGCGCTCACTATGCGAGCGTCGTAGTTGAAAAGTCGAAAAGATAACGAACGGCAGTCCCTTTTGAACGTGCACATCGAAAAGTCCCTAATATCGCGGATACGTTATTGAGATTTGAGGTTTAGGGCTTGAAATCTAGTAATAAAGGAAATAACAACATTGCTGTATTTACGTAACACACTATTTACGGACATCAAGATGAAAAGGTTACAGTGAATTATGTTCTACATGAGATATTGCACTGTGGGTCATAGAGGTGAAATTAATGGATTGATTTTGACAATGATTTATTTCTAATAGATCTAGATAATAGTATACGTTCTCTGATTGTATTGAATAATAATTTCCGAATGTTTTTTTTTTAATGCGTGACTGCTAAAGTTGTGTGTGCTACTATGCTTATATACTAGAGGACCTACGTCCCTAAGTCATAACTGACAGTGATGAGGATTAATGCCTCACAAAGGGCAT